GGTGCACACGTGTGTGAGGGCCTGTCTGCCAGGGCTGGTCGGTGCAGCGCACACGTGTGTGAGGGCCTGTCTGCCAGGGCTGGTCGGTGCACACACGTGTGTCTGCCAGGGCTGGTCGGTGCAGTGCACACGTGTGTGAGGGCCTGTCTGCCAGGGCTGGTTGGTGCACACACGTGTGTCTGTCAGGGCTGGTCGGTGCACACGTGTGTGAGGGCCTGTCTGTCAGGGCTGGTCGGTGCACACGTGTGTCTGCCAGGGCTGGTCGGTGCACACGTGTGTGAGGGCCTGTCTGTCAGGGCTGGTCGGTGCACACGTGTGTCTGCCAGGGCTGGTCGGTGCACACGTGTGTGAGGGCCTGTCTGTCAGGGCTGGTCGGTGCACACGTGTGTCTGCCAGGGCTGGTCGGTGCACACGTGTGTGAGGGCCTGTCTGTCAGGGCTGGTCGGTGCAGTGCACAGGTGTGTCTGCAGGCTGGTGGGTGCCTCATGGGGTAGAGGAGGGGTGGGGACGGGAGGGGCCACTCTCGCAGACTGCACTGTGCTCCCCCAGCCTGTCCTCAGGGCCCAGGACTGCAGGGCTCTCACAAGTTGGAGCACTCAGTTCTCCCAGGGGCTCCTGCTCTGTGCCAGTCAGAAATGAGAGTGCAGACACCTGACAGTAGAGAGAGGGAAGAGGCCTTTCCGGCTCACTGGCAGCTGGAGGACCCCATGGCTGGCCTCATCACGTCAGAGAAACGCAAAGGAAGTGTGCAGAAGGGGAACGGTGCTGTCCTGTCAGCAGTGATCCTGCAGCCTGGGAAGCGTTCCACCAGCCCCTGTGAGGGCGGCACCCACGAGCCAGTCATCCCTCAGAGACGCTTCTTAAGATGGTTTCGTTTATGACCCTTTTACCTGACAAGCTGTTGTTGTTTGTTTTTCAAGGCAGGGTCTCTCTGTGTAGCCCTGCCTGTCCTGGACTTTCTTTGCAGACCCGGCTGGCCTTGAACTCACAGACATCCCCCTGCCTCTGCCTAGCTAGTGCTGGGATTAAAGGCGTGTGCCACCACCGCCTGGCCACTTTTAACTTTTTAATGTAATTTTATTTTCTTTATGCATATATATGAGAGAGAGAGAGAATTTGTGCGCATGTGTGTAGGTGATCGTAGAAGGCAGAAGAGGGTGTTGACTCCCGGCAGCTGTGTATACAGGCTCTGCCCAGTGCTGGTGCTGGGCATAAAACCTGGATGCTTTATGAGAGCAATGCGCACTCTTAGCCCTGGGAAATTGTTTTTAATTGTGTTTGATTTGGAGTGCGTGTGAGCGTGCATGTAGAGGGTAGAGAATAACTTGATGCCTTCTCTCTCGTGGGCTATAAGGATCTCAGTCTCATTTTCAGGGTTGACCGCAGGTGCCTTTACCTACTGAGCCATCTTGCCAGCCTAATGATTTTTTTTTTTTAATGAAATATGAGTGAACCGACAGCAAATTTGTTTTTTAGGTTTTTGAGACAGGGTTTCTCTGTGGAGTCCTGGCTGGCCTGGAACTTGCTTTGTAGACCAGGCTGGCCTCAAACTCAGAGATCTGTCCACCTTTGCCTTCCAGGTGCTGAGATTAAAGACATCTATATATCTATATTTATACCTATATCTGTATTTATATCTATATATCTGTGTATGTGTGTGGGTGCGTGTGTGTGTGTGATGATGGGAGGAAAATATGAAGGCTTTGTTTTCCACAGCTAAACTATGACGTGTGTAAAGCAGAAAGTCTGTGCGCACTGTGAAAGCATGGCGTTTCCTGAGGAGCAGCAGTGTCGAGTGTGAGCTGAGTGTCTGAGGGACTGCCCCCTTCACTTTCTTGTTCCAGGAGCTGCTGCTGGAGTTTGAGTCTGAAATGCGGCGAAGGGAACATGAGTTCCAGCTGAGGGCTGAGGACATGAGCAATGCAGTCCTGACCAAAGAGCTCGAGGTAACTGCTGGGGCTTTGGAAGGCTTTCGGGTTCTGGTCACTCTGCCAGCCTTAGTCACGCTGGGCTGCAGGCACCACACTGTTCCTTTACCAGCCACTCCCCTGGGCCTTTCCCTCTGTCTCAGCTAAAACAGCTGAACAAAGAGCTCCGGGCACTGAGAGAAGCGGGCGCACAGGCAGCAGAGAGTCTGCGGAAGGCAGAAACAGAGCACTTGGAATTGGAGAGGAAGCTGCAGGGCCGTGCTCAGGAGCTGCAGGATCTGGAGGCCGTGAAGGATGCTCGGTGCGTGGGCTCTGTGTCCTGGGCCCTGCGGGTGCTCGGTGCGTGGGCTCTGTGTCGTGGGCTCTGTCCCGGGCCCTGCAGCTATCAGGACTAGGTCCTGGTGGCTCTGCCTTCCTAGTTTCTCCCAGCTCTGCTCTTTGGTCCCGTGTGTAACTGCTTTTACTAACACAGTGTTTGTTTAGGATAAAGGTCGTGGAGGAGAAGCTTCACTCCGAACGGCTGACCCGGAAGAGAGCAGAGGAGACTTTGAGGAGGAAGTGAGTGCTTCTACCTGGGTGGTGCCTCTCAAAGTCACTGAGACAAGGGCCCTGTGGGAGAGCCTGAGCTAGGATGCCACTTTGGCTCCAAGCTCCACTTCCTCAGAGAGGACTGGGCAACCGAGGTCTCCAGGCTTAAAATGTTCATTGATTGGTGAAGCACAAGCCCAGAATATCTGAACCTCTGGATTTAACCTCCAATGCCCAAAACAGACTTTTAAAAGTGTAACTTAGGTACAAGTTAGCTTTTAGGGGTGGGTTAGGTTGCTCTGTGCATAGTTACTTGTCACTTGTAGGTGGCCTGAGTTCTGTCCCTGGAACCCATGTGGTAAAAAAGAAAAGAAAACCGACTCTACACACATGTCCCCACACTAAATAAATAAATATTTAAAAATTAAAAGTCAGCATTTAAAACTTGTTTTTTAACGCGTTTATAAATGTTACACTGGCTCCCTGAGCTTTACCGTGCTGACCAGCCGCCTCTCCCTCTGGTTAATGGAGAGTCTCTGAGCTCTCTGTCCTGCTGACGCGCCCTGTACTCATTGTGGCTTGGGACCCAGACAGCAGCAGCAGGCGCTTCATGTTGCCGGGTGTCTGGGGCACCCAGGAAGTAGATGGTGTGGGCTCGGGGTGGGACCAACCAGGCAATCCAAGCCTCGCCCTCCCCCAAGCTGCATCGGGACCAGCATAGTCCTTAGTCAGAAAGGAAAGTCCCAAGGTGCGCTGCTGGTGAGGAGGACTTCAGCCCCAGGGCAAGAATCACTTCCTTTCTATTCCAAAGGAAACACAGCTACCATAGCACCAAACACTCAGGAGGGGCGTGTAGGAGGAAGGGAAAGAGGGAGGAAGAAGGGGACCAAGTTCACTTGTGTTTCCTCATAATCTGTGCAGTGCCTGCGAGGCAGACGGAGCCTGTTCTCCATGGGCCGGGCAGGAAGCTTGGTGGTGGGCGAAGAATGCTCTGTGAGCCTGTCTTGGCGTCTGTGTTGTGAGCATTGGGGGGCATCCAGGAACCTGACATCTAAGAAGAGCTGCTTACATGCAAAGAACAAGCACACACACACACCAGTTACTCCTGAAGGGGCAGCCATCTTGTCAGGGACAACTGTAGTGTAAGAAAGGACAGCAGATACTCTGGAAGGTTCCAGGGCACTGAGTGAGCCCCCATGGGACCCATCCCTGTGTTTCAGATGTGAAGAGCTTGACCGTCAAGCCATGGAGAAGGACGCAGTGCTGGCGGCAGTGAAGGGCGCCCACGCAGGGCAGCTGCAGGCGCTGGAGGCCACGGTGCTGGAGCTGCAAGCCCACTGTGAAACCCTTGAGGGCCAGCTGAGCAGGGCTGAGCGGATGCACGCTGATGATGCCAGAGAGAAGAAGGCCCTTATTGAAAGGTGAGCTGCTGTCTCAGGCCCGCCAACCAGCAGCCTGTGTGCCTGTGCCCTGGGCTGGCACGGGCCATTCTAGACCCAGGGAAATGGCATTCGGCGGGTGGAGAAACTTTAGGGCCTTTCTGGCCCAAGCTGGCCCAGACTTGCTCTCTAACGTTGGAAGGCCTTGAATTTATGACCCTGTACCTCCACCTCCCAAGTGCCGGGACTACCTATGACGCTGTACCTGGCCTTTCTTTCTCCCTCTCCGAGACAAGGTTTTGATGGATAGCCCAGGCTGCCCTCTAATTACCTTCCTGCCTCAACCTCCCAGGCACTGCTGGAGTTACAGGCATGCAGTGCAGTGCCTGGCAAAGTCTGCCACCCACTCTTTCAGTGTGAAGTTCATTGGCATCAGTGTGACAGGCGCCATTCCACCTGTCATCTGCAGGGCTGTTCCTGTCCAGCACTAGCTGCCCCTCCATCTGGCAACAGCCTCTAGTCTGCCCTCACTGTGCCTTTGCTAGCTCTAGGAATCTTGCCCTTGCCCTTATGTGACTGTCCTGTCACAGAGACTCACGTTCTCAAGGTTCACCCACATTTACAGAATGTCATTCATTCTCTTTTAAATTGTTATGATTGGGTCAAGATACACATTTTCAGAAGCTGTGGGAAACTCACTGGCTAGCTAGCCTAGCATATCAGTAGGCCTCAGGGCCCAGTGAGAGACCTTATCTCCAAAACCAAAGCAGATGGCTCCTGAGGAACATCGCCCAGGGTTGACCTCTGACCTAGGCACGTGTGTCCACACGTGTGTATCTGTATCTGTCCTTACTCACACTCCTGCACATTCACAAGAAATACCATACATAGCACACAGGCTATGGCCTGCAGAGGCTGCTAAGTCAGACTCGCTTCCCAGGCCGATATCCAGTGCAGACAGGCCACAGGCCTTTATCCACTCCGCACGTATGGACTGTTTCCACTTTGGCGCTCACAAATAATGCTGCCTTAGCGCAGGTATGTGATCTCCTCTGTAGACTTGCTCTCAGTTCTTTTGTGGATATGAACAGAACTGGAATTTCGGAACATACAGCTCTGGGTTCAGCAGTTGGTTTTGTCTGCTTTTTGAGACAAGGTCTCCCTGTGTAGCCTGGGCTGGCTTGGAAGCCTCTGTTCTGCCCCTCAGACTCCCCAGTTCTGGGATTACAGGTGTGTTTCAGTACACCTCCTTCCAATGTCTAATTCAGGCCTGAGAGTTTGGGCCACCTGCTGCCCTTGCCTCGTGTCAGGAAACTGGGTGCTAGAGAAACTGTCGTAAAAGCACTGGCTGTGTAATAGCCTCATCCTGAGTGGTGAGGAAACAGCCAGAGGGACGCTATGTTCAGTAGAAACACTGAAGTCTTGCATTTGCTAATGTTCCCGGGCTTAGCAACTGGATATTTCTTTGGGATGGGTTTTTATATCTTCTTTTAAACAGAGAAATCACCGAAATTACATTCCTGTCCTGGGGAGAGGTAGTCTTATACCTGTGAAATGTCAGGAACTCAAAGCTTTTTACATGGGCTAGGGCGATGGCTCGGTGGTTAAGAGTGCTGGCTGCTCCTCCGGGTCCAGGCTCTGTCCCTAGCACCCGCATGCAGGCAAGATACCCATGCACGTAAGGCAAAGGTAAAACTTTAAAAGTTAGACTTTAAGAATATTGTTCCAGCCAGTCAGTGGTGGCACATTCCTTTCGTCCCAGCCCTTGGGAGGTGAGCAGGTGGATCTCTGTGACTTTGAGGCTAGGCTGATCTACAGAGATAGTTACAGGACAGTCAGGGCTACACAGAGAAACCCTGCCTGGAAAAACAGAAGAGGAGGAGGGGGGAGAAGGAGGAGAAGGAGGAGGGAGAGGAGGGGAGGCGGCGGCAGCAACTTGTCCCACATCACTGTACTAAGTATAGCACGCTGTTGTCTGATCACTCACCTACGCCCGGGTGAGCCAGTAGTGTCCCAGGTGTGCTGTCTGCCTTGGCGGTGTGCTAGCTCATGGCTGTGTTCCTACTCCCTGTCAGTGTAGCTGCAGTGGTGGGGCCTCGAACAGGCTGGCTGCTTCCTTCTCTTGAAGCCTTGAATTCATGACTCTGCTTTGTTTTGAAAGAAGGGCTCTTTAGATCTCCTGGCCAGCTGAGAACTCCCACCACCCCTGCCTCAGCCCCCAAGTGCTGCAGTTGCACTGTGCCGCCCCAGTGTTAACTGATTTCTGTTTTAAGCAGTTGTTTCTGTTCTAAGCAATTGTTGCCTATTAAGGGCTATTCCTCCAAAGACAGGGCGTCTGACAACAGACAGCAGGGCAGGGTGTCATGCCTGTCACCTCAGAGCTCTGAAGGAGGAAGCTGGAGGATCTCAAGTTTGAGGCCTTCCTAGGCTGCAAACTGAGACCTCATCTCAAGAGAAGAGGGTCAGAAGTTGTCAACTTGAGTCTTTCTTCTTACTTCTGGGGTGTTCCGTTGTACGCTCATCTCTGTCCTGAGCGTGCGCTGGGATTCAGTGAAAACCTCAGGGCTTCGCAGCCACCCTCTCTGTTTTCTCTGAAACCGCAGGGTACACATATGGGATTAAGGGGAAAGCAGGTTTGGTGGTGACCAGCCTGCTCCACTTGGAGCTGTCAGTGTCTACGATCTTCATCGTGAGAGCGCCGTAGCTGTGCCCTGGCCCCTAAGCCAAGCCAAGTGTTTAGGAAGGAGGTAGAATGTGGAAGAGAGGCCACAGTGGACACAGGTCCCTGGGCCAGGTATTTCTGGGAGTATTGGCTGGCCTGGGAGGAAGCTTGGTGAGAAGGGATGAGGTGTATTTCTAGGCCCATTTCCTCAGTACCAGATACAGCAGAGTCACACCAGATTGCCACAGCGGCTATAGATTGATGCCTTCCACGTGTGGTTTCCACACTCCCAAACGTGCAGAGATGTTGGCACGGTGGCCTTTTTCATTGTGCACAAGCCAGGTTTGAACTCTCAGCACCGGCCTCCTGACCCAGGGAGGCTACCCGCTCTCTGCTTGTCATGGCCACACTGGGCACGGTCTCTCTGTGCGGCCCTGGCTGTCCTGGACTCACTCTGTAGACCAGGCTGGCCTTGAACTCACAGGGATCGCCTGCCTCTGCCTCCCCAGTGCTGACGTGGCTTTTCTACAAGTGCAGCTCTGTGTGTATCCCTTTGGTCTGTGTGGGAACAGGAGAGAGTGGAAAAGAACCTCGCGGTGTGACACCTTCCTGTGCAGGCTTCGCGACGATGCGGCAGCTGTGAAAGCTGCTTGGGATGCCCAGATCGATCAGATGTCCAAGGATGCTGTCTCCAAAGACCTTCAGGTCCAGATGCTGCAGGAGGAAGGGATGAAGCTCAAAGCCCAGGTGGCCAGGTTCCAGCAGGACATAGACAGGTACTGTCCCCAAGGCAGCCGCCTTTGCTGAGTGTCTCCTGGGGACAAGAACCACTTCAGGTTCTCGGATTGGAGCTATGTAAAACAAGCTTGGCCCTGAACTCTGTGGGAAGGGATGGGAAATGAGCCATAAGCAGATCATGGTGGTACAGAGAGCAAATACCCAGGCCCAGCGGGTGTGCCCAGACGCGTTGGGATAAGGAATCTCAGGGTTCAAGGAAAGCAGCAAAGGGCTGCTATGGAGCCGAGCAGTGGCCACCTTCTTCTGCCTTCCACGTGCTTGTGTTTCAGCCTTAATCCCAGCACTCTGGAAGCAGAGGCAGAGAGATTGCTGTGAGTTCAAGGCCAGCCTGATCCACACATTTCTAGGACAGATAGGGCTACATACAGAGACTGTCTCAAAGGAAAAAAAACACACAAAACAAAACAAACAAATAAAACATGCTCATGTTTTCCTGTTTGTTGGTTTTTGTTTGTTTGTTTGTTTTAGTTTGGGTTTTGTTTTTTGGAAAGGTTTCTCTGTGTAGCCTTGGCTGTCCTGGAACTCGATCTGTAGACCAGGCTGGCCTCACAGCAGTCCATCTGCCTCTGCCTCCCGAGTGCTGGGATTAAAGATGTGAGCCACCAACCAACCAGCTCCAGGTCATTGTGTTAACATGTGCTTGAGTGGAGCTAAGGACCTGTTTTCCATAATGAAACCAAGTCAACCAGATGTAATAAAACAGTGTCCACAGGGTGGATCTGGACGGACATAGCCGCCTATACCTCACCCTGCACCCCTGGAAACCCCGATCCCCTGTAGCCAGCCCTGACTGCCCCACCCCCATCTGGCTGCCCTGGGGTGGCTCAGCCTGGACTGGACACCTGAGTGGAGGATTACCATGCAGCTTTGACCCTAGCTTGTTTGGTTTTGTTGCTTTGAAGTCAGGATGCCACTGGTTCTTTACGCTCTCAGTAGCCGTGATGCTTGAGTCTATGGCTGCTTTTTTTTTTTTTTTTTAAAGATTTCCTCTCTGTATTTTTTTCTGTCCACTTTGGTAGTTTGTGTCCATCTATCCACGTCATCCACTTGTGGGCATGTTCCTCCTTCCTGCTATCTTACTGCATGTGAGTGGACAGCTAGGGCCCCTCTTACCCCTGACACTGCTCATTTAATGGTCTCTCCTGTATCTCAGACCAGCCTCACCAGAAGCTTATCAGTTCTATCAATTCTGCTGATCTTGGTGAAGAACTGGCTTTTGGATTTGACTTTTCTCAGTTTTCTGTTCTCAGTCTTACTGCTGTCTGTTGTCTTCTGTTTCTTTTGGCTTTGGTTTGTTGTTCTGATTGATCCTAAGAGTGGAGCAAGATGATTAACTGAGACACCCTTCCTTCAGAGGTGGTTAGTGAAAGTTTCCTCTCAAACATAGCTTAGCTACACCCAACAAATCCTGATGTCATTCTGCTAAAATACTGTCTCCTTGTGTGTCCTCTGGTCACTAGATGGCTTAGAACCATGTTGACTAATCCCCGGGGATTTTAGTGTTGGGTGCCATTTGTCAGAGATTTCTTACCTGAGTCTGCTGTGATTCAGAATGCACCTTGAGTGATTGATTTCCTCTGCAACCTGTTTTGTGCCTTTGGAACGTGCTCTGCCCCAAAGGTTGGCTAAGCAGACTTACAGACAAAATACGCCCTGTTGCCGTCTGAGCTCTGAAAATGTCACCTTGAGCACAGTGGTGGCTAACAGTGTTCTTGTCTCCATGTCCTGTGATCTGCTTATTGGGCCTGTCAGTTACAGAAGAGTGTGCATGGGCGTGGCTCCCTCTCAGTTTTATCTTGAGCTGTGCTGGGAAGTTACGCATTAAGTTCGCCTGCGTTTAGGATTGTCCTGGCTTCCCACCACCCTGGCTTCTGTGCGGTATGAGCAGGCGTGTTTGTCCCCCTTTGCAAACTGCTGTCCCACCTGTTCGCTCAGCCCCTCCTGCTTTTCAGCCCTCGTGCCCCCCACCCCGTGGCCCATGCTCCGGCTTTCCCCTCTGGAGGGTCTCTGGAGGGTTTGCTCAGCCCTGGTTTGGGTTAGCTTCCCTCTCTGTCTGCACACTGCTTCTGTCCACAGAGTGTGGCCACCACACTGTTTCCTCCAGCGTTTGGTGAATGTCGGTGCCTGTTATGTCTGCCTGTCCCCAGGGGCTGTTGTTCCTGCAGGCTTCTCTCAGGCCACTTTTCCCTGTACCGCACATGTGTCTTTCCTTGTCGTGGACTAAGCTTGCCATGGGAAGGACGTGCCAAGGATCATGGAAGCCCCTCAGCTGTCAGCCCAGCTTTGCTCTTCATGCTGAAGGGACCTCGGGAAAGTTAACATGGGACATTGGGGTGTGTCTGTAGGTACAAACAGCAACTGGCCCTGGCCGTGGAAAAGGAACAGAGCCTGGAGCGGGCGCAGGTACAGCTGTGCCTAGACTGGCAGCATCGCTGTGATGACGTTGAACGAGACCAGATCCAGAGATCAGAGACTTTGATCCAAGGGCTAACCAAGGCCAGAGATCAGGTGTGCTGGTTGCTGTGGGTGTGGAGTCTATGCAGGACGGTACAGGATGGCTTTGGCCCTTGCCATATAATTTTTTTAACTCAGAAAACACCAGTTAATCTGTGGCAGAGTCACAGTCATCCTGGTGTGCTGATGCAGCCCAGTAGTTCCAGCTGCTCAGGAAAAGGAGGCAGGAGGATCTCAGGTTCAAGGCCAATCTGGACAAAAACCAGTCTCTGCCCTGTCCCCAGATGTATTTAGGGGTTCTTTTTCCTGACAGGGGCATGGTTCTGGGAGTGCTGATTTGGTCCCTACCCATTGGCGTATCCTCTGCCTGGCCAGGGCAAACTAGGCACCATAGCCGAACAGGAAAGTCCTCCCCCGCCCCCCCCCCATGGCCCAGCATGCTGAGAGTGACATATATATTGCTCTTGTGGCCATTCACTTGACCCTGCTGGCCACTTTGTAAGCAAAAGGGAGTCTGGCCTCTGAGACCAGGCGGCCCACAGATGACACTCTCTCAGGTTGCTGCGAAGCTCCAGGAGACAGAGAGGGCGCTGCGTCAGCAGGAGGCACTGCTGGAGGCTGTGTCACTGGAGCGAGACCAGGCCATGGACACGCTGCGGACACACGGTGTCCTCGCTGGACCGCAGGCACGGGTGAGCCCCTGCTGATGCAAAGAGGCTGAAGAAAGGCGTGCTCCTGTACACTAGGTGGCAGCGTCAGATCGCTGCTGAGTTGCTTGTTGTTCTGTGCTCAGGCTGTGTCACCACTCCCCAGACCAGACCATTTTATTTGTTGTTATTTATCATTCCTGTTGTGTGTAAAGGTCAGAGGGCACCAGCTCCACAGCGGTGGGTTTCGGGGGACTAACTCAGATGACTAGGCTTGTGCAGCAAGTCTTTACCTGTGGAGACATTGCACTGATTCTGACTGCCTCCCTCTTAGAGGTGAGTACCGCCAGCATGGAGACCTACCTGCCTGAGCTGTTGCAGTTGTTAGCAGAGCTGATTCCTAGAGGCACCCTTAGACTGGGAGAGGCTGGGAACAGCATTATCCTGGGCCTGCAAAAGGTTGTTTTTTTGTTTTTTTTTAAATGGGTGTTCTTGCATCCCAATGTGACAAAATGAAGAAGGTCTAGCATCCTGAAGAGAGTCTAATAGGTAAATATACCACATATGCTTCCATTTCTTCACTCTCTAAAACTCCCTACACCCTTCCCTTGGTCCCATCTCCCTACCAAAGGCAGCCATATTCTGATTTCTGTCCTCATCGATTTAATTCTCTGGCTATGGCTTCTGTTACGTTGCCATGGAAGACCTGGTGGGCAGAGTCTCTCTATTTCATGCTATGGTCCTGGCCATGGTTAAGAATATTTCAAGGGGGCCTTGAGAGTTGGCTCAGAGGTTAAGAGCACTGGCTGCTCTTTCAGAAGTCCTGAGTTCAATTCCCAGCACCCACACGATGGCTCACAACCATCTGTAATGTGATCTGGTGCCCTCTTCTGGTGTGCAGGTGTACTTGCCGATGGAGCACTCATACATAAAATAGATAAGGAGACTATTTCAAGGGCCAGCATGGTGGTGCCTCCCTTTAATCCCAGCAGAACTCTGTGAGTTGGGAACCATCCTGGTCTACATAGTGAGTTCCAGGCCAGCCAGAGCTACACACTGAAACCCTGTCTCTAACCCCACCCACTCCAAAGAGAATATCCAAATAAGAATATTTGACAGGATGGGAAGTGGGTTAGTGCCTAAAACATTCGCTGTGCAAGCGGAAGGACCTAAGTTACACAGAGTCACACGACACATCCATACACGCACAGACACTCACACAAGTGTGGTGGCACACACTTATAATTTCAGTAGTCAGGCAGCTGAAGGAAGAAAATTGTGAGTTCAAGGCCAGCATGGACTGAGAATTTTTAAATAGGTCAGGGTACAGGGACAGAGCACTTTTCCTGCGTGATCAAGGGCCAAACACCACACACATAAATGTGCTCTGTCGCTGCACACTCTTTCTCACTGTCCTGCTGTGAAGCTCACGGTCCGGGAGTGATTTCCTCCCTGTGCTGAACCTGAGCACATGACATCGCAGGACATATTGAGGGTCCCACCTCTCTCCCTGGGATTGTTTGGCCACAGGAGACTGGCTGGCTGTGTGCACTCCTGGCTGTGCGCTGCCACCTCATGACGGACAGGCGTGTGAGCAGTGGCAGCTTCTCAGGCCGCTGCGGCACAAAGGAGGAGGAGAGCTGGAGCAGGAAGAGTTGTCTAGGGTAAAGCCTCTCACGCCCACATCATCGCTAGCCAGTATCACAAATGCTTTGGTTTTCTTTGAGGGTTTTGTTTTGTTTTTTAATTTATTTATTTTTTATTAATTACAATTTATTCACTTTGTATCCCACATGTAGCACCCTCCCTCAACCTCTCCCAATCCCACCCTCCCTCCCTCATCTCCTTTCATGTCCCTTCCCCAGTCCACTGATAGGGGAGGTCCTCCTCCCCTTCCATCTGACCCTAGCCTATCAGTTCTCATCAGGACTGGCTGCATCGTCTTCCTCTGTGGCCTGGTAAGGGTGCTCGGCCATCAGGGGAGGTGATGAAAGAGCCAGAGTTCATGTCTGAGACAGTTCCTGTTCCCATTACTAGGGAATCTGCTTGGAGGCTGAACTGCCATGGGCTACATCTGTGCAGGGGTTCTAAGGTTATCACCATGCATGATTCTTGGCTGGAGTATCAGTCTTAGAAAACAACCTGTGCCCAGATTTTTTGGTTTGGTTGCTCCTGTGTTTTTTATTTTTTTCAAGACTATGTAGCCTTGGCTCCCTGAACCTGCTTTGTAGACCAGGCTAGCCTCGAACTCACAGAGATCTGCCTGCCTCTGCCTCCCTGAGTGCTTGGGTTAAAGGTGTGAGCCACCATGCCCAGCTATTTTTGTTTTTTGTTTTTTTGAGACCAGGACTCACTATGCATCTTTGGCCGTCCTGCAGCTCACTATATAGACTATACAGAGCATTAAATTGTTGTTGTTGTGGGTTTTTTTTTTTGTTTTGTTTTGTTTTTGTTTTTTTTAATTTTTCAATAAATGGTTTCTCTGTGTAGCCCTGGCTGTCCTGTAGACCAGGCTGGCCTCAAACTCATAGAGATTCACCTGCCTCTGCCTCCCAAGTGCTGGGACAGCATGTGCCACCACACCTGCCTTGCCTTCATATTTTTATATTAAATTTTTATTTTGTTAATATTAGTTACAGTTTATTCACTTTGTATCCCAGCTGTATCCCCCTCCCTCATTACCTCCCAATCCTACCCTGCCTCCTTCATCTTCTCCCTGCCCCTTTCCAAGTCCACTGATAGGGGAGGTCCTCCTCCCCTTTCATGTCATCCTGGCTTATCAGGTCTCTTCAGGCCTGGCTGCACAGTCCCCCTCTGTGGCCTAGCAGAGCTGCTCCTCCCTCGGGTTTGTGGGGGGGGGGGGTGTCAAAGAGCCAGCCATTGAGCTCATGTCAGAAATAGTCCCTGTTCCCCTTACTAGGACACCCACTTGGATACTGAGCTACCATGGGCTACATCCAAGCAGGGGTTCTAGGTTATATCCATGAATGGTCCTTGGTTGGAGATACAGGCCTTCATTTTTAAAATGCAAAATAGTGCTTCCTCTTTTATTAACCTCATCAGTTAATGGTGTCAGTTTTGGAAAATTGAGTGTACTGCCAAATGTCCAGAATAGCATTTCAGGATGTAGTCAGGTTTTTTTTTGTTACATTATTTATTTTGTGTGAATGTGTGTGCACATGTGTGCACACACCACATGGGTGGAGTCGGAGGACAACTTTAGGGAAGTGGTTCTGTCCTTACACCATGAATATTCCAGGAATCATGCTCAAATGGCCAGACTTTCAAGTCAAGTGGTCTTACTCAGCAAGCTGGCTTAGGAGCCCTTTCCATCACTAAATCCTGGGTGAGAGGTTGGAATTCTATACACAGACCATGACTTCATGCATGTTGTCTGAGTAATGTAAGATGGAAGAAGATGGCCTTTCCTCCACGTGTCCTGGCCTAGCAGCTCAGTGATGGCTTCAGTCAGACACTGATTGCAGGATGCCTGTGGGCTGAGCTGCATTCTCCACAGCACTCAGCTTCAAGTCTTGTCCCCAAAACTTAAGCGTATGACTCACTGAGATCGTATAGCTGAGGGGGGAGTAAATTAAGATGAGCCATGCTGGAGCAGCACAGCCCCACGCCCTGTTCCCTGTGCCTGCTGTGCTAAGAGGAGAGGACATGCAGATGCCCAGGATGGCCGTGTGATGGCAGGGGCAGAGACCAGGGGACAAATTTACAAGCCTGAAAACAGCAAGGATTACTAACAAGCACCAGATGCTGACAAGGCTGGAACAGATCCTCTGCAAGCCTTTAGATGAAGCACAGCGCAATGTCAGGCTCTGGGCCTGCTAACAGGAGAGGATGAATTTCTGTGTGGTTATATGTTCCTGAAGCTGCAGAAAACTCCCACAGATGGCACTAAAGCTCAGCCTGGGCTGGCTCTCTACAGGCTCTCCTACTCTGCGCCCCTTTGAAGACAAGGCTTAACTCTGTGTGACCCTTTTCCAGGACTTCCTTTAATGGTGGCTAGTCAGTGTTTCTATTGCTGTGAGGAAACACCATGACCAAAAGCCAGTTGGGGAGGAAAGGCTTTACTCAGTTTACACTTCTCCATCATAGTTTATCATTGAAGGAACTCAAGCAGGACAGGAACCTGGAGGCAGGAGCTGGCGCAGAGGCCATGGAGGGCGCTGCTCACTGGCTTGCTCAGCCTGCTTTCCTGTAGAACCCAGGACCTCCAGCCCAGGGATGTCTCCACCCACAGTGGGTTGGGCCCTCCCCATCAATCACTAATTAAGAGAATGCCCTACAGGTTAGCCTACGGCCTGGTTTTTCGGAGGCGTTTTCTTGATTGGGGTTCTCTTCCCTCAGATGGATTTAGCACACGGTTTTTTGTTGTTTTTTTTTTTTTTTTTTTTCGGTAGTCGAACATCTGCCCCTCTATGAAAAAAAAATCTGCCCCTTCATCAGGTCTCTGGGGTACAAATACTGAAGTTCTTGTGGGCCATTCCTGAGGGACAGCTGCCTAAGACTTGTCTTTCTCCTGCCAAGCTGACATTCCCTTGAAGGCCAAGTTCCCAGATCACAAAAAGGGACACAGGGAGGATAGTGCCTGCACTGGAACTGATGGATGGCTCTGGTGCTGGCAGCTGGCACTTGCCCAGAGCCATGCGGTGGGCTTGCCGGAGCTGAGTAGTTTACAACAGCAACCAAATTCTTCTCTGAGCTCTCACACTCGAGTTCCAAGTTGAAAGTTGGTTGAAGATACTTGTGGCCTCCTGGGACCTGTGAGGCAGGTGGCCCTAGGGACTGAGCACTGAGGACACACCCTAGCAGTGTGGCCGTATTTCTCCCACAAGCAGAGAGGCCTCAAGGGGACCCTCAAGATGAGGGTCCATAGCTTTGGTACCCACAGACCTTTCCTCACAGGCTTTCCTGAGGTTATAGATGAAGTGCTCCCCAGTCTGAACACAGGAAACACTATAGACAGATGACAGAGGATAAAGTACTTATTTTCATCAATGGTGCCTTACTGGAAGCTTTCTTGTACTTTTCCCCTAGGCTAGCAATCAAAAGAGGACATTTGTCTCCAAGTACCAGCTAAGCAGGTCAGCAAGGCCTATCGGTTGGCTGGCTTCTTTGTTAGGCAAACAATAAGCGTTAGAAGTGTGTTCTGTCATCAGGAACAACCCACGCCCACCACCCCCTTAAGTGCACCCTTGATCTTGGGCAACAACCGGAGTGCCCAGTGTGACTCCCAGATATGCCAGCGTGTGCAAGGAGTGGAGTGATGGGCCAGAGCGCTCGGGAGAAGCCCTCGCCAGCTCCTGAGGGGCAGCCCTACGAAAAGCTGAGCCGAATGCCGAGGGCTGCCTCCCTTGCCCTGCTGGGGAGCCTCACAAGCCAGCATTGGAGCTGCTGCCTGAGGGCCACCAAGTAGGGCCGCAGGCCTCACTGGGAGCACCTGGGGACTGTGTCTGAATGGCCAGGGGCCTGTGCTGTGCAAGAGGCTGACACCAAACTTGCCATAGGCTTCCTTGGCTAACTGGGATTGGCTGACTGCGACACAGTCATTTTACAGGCTCCTATCTGGCACCTGTTCATAGGAACTTCACTCATTGTCTAGGGCAGATCAGACGGGTAGCCCTCATGCTCCAGAGTTGTCACCTTGGGGACCCCAAGAAGGAGAAGATGTAGCCAGCCTGAGATGAGGAGAGCCAGCTTGGCGTCACAGGTGTAAGGGAGGGAGGGAGGGAGGCTAGAGTGATGGCTCCGCCGTTAAGAGCACTTGCTGCTCTTGCACAGGACCTAGGTTCAGTTCCCAGGACCACACATATGGCCACCATACAAATGGCCGCTCACAGCCATCTGTAACTCCATGCCAGGTGTTCAGCACCCTCTTCTGGCCTCTGTGTGATACACGTATAGTGCAAATATGCATGTACATATTTGCAGTCAGAACAGCCAGAACATAAAAATCCATGAATCTTTCTAGCTGTGGTGTTGGACACATTTGTGTCTCTTCAGGAGATCGGCTAGGATCTCCTGTGCTGGCCCTTGCTTGGCTTGTTACCAGAGAAGCTGGTAACAGGTCAGACTCAGCTCAGTCTGCACTGATGGGCATGTGAAATCCCTCTGGTCATGAGGGTTTTTCTTCCCCTTCTTGTTCTGAGTGAGCGTCAGTTTGTCTGCACCACGTGTTGTCCCCAGGCGCCAGGAGCTCTGCTCCTCCTGACCGTTCCGATGCTTTCTGATGCGTTTGTAACTCCTGCTCGTCTCTCTGCTCTCAGATGTACTCTACCCAGTGAATTGTCGGATTGTTCTAAAACTGCATAGAATTCTTAAAGCCAGGACTGGAGAGGTGGCTCAGCAGTTAATGCACTGCCTCCTCTTCCAGAGGACCCGGGTTCAATTCCCAGCACCCACGTGGTGCCTCACAACCGTCTGTCACTCCAGTTCCAAGGGATCCGACATCCTCACACAGACACACATGCAGGCCAAACACAAATGCACATAAAATAAAAGTAAATAAATCTTGGCCAGGCAGTGATGGTACACACCTTTAATCTCAGCACTGGCAAGGCAGAGGCAGGTGGATCTGTGAGTTCACCAGCAGCCTGGTCCACAGAGTCAAGACAGGCAGGGCTACATAGAGAAACCCTGTCTCAAAAAAACAATAAACAAGCCAGGCATGGTGGCACATGCCATTAATCCCAGCACTGAAGGAGAGGATGGGGTGGGAGGCAGAGGCAGGTGGATGGCCAGCCTGTGAGTTTGTGGCCAGCCTGGTCTGCAAAGAGAGTTCCAGGACAGCCAAGGCTACACAGAAAAACCCTGTCTCAAAACACAAACAACAACAACAACAAAAAATAATCTTTTTTAAAACTTAAAAAATCTTCATAAATCCTGGGATGTGCCAAACACAGGCCTGTGAGTGAACAGTCACCCACCTGCAGAGCCCCCAGTGCCCTTCCGCCTTCCTAGCATACTCCTGAGTGAGAGACACAGACACATGAGGGCCCAGAGACCCCTTCATTCCCGCCTGTGAGGGAGTGTCAGCAGTCAGCAAGCCTGATCTTGAGGTTGTCTTGCAAATACCCTGCTATTCTGGTGAAGGTGGTGGCTGTTCCGCTCAGAGGGTATGCAGTTCCAGAGGACAAGACATGGCTCCAAGGTCAGCTGGAGCAAAGGGCCTTGTTGGCAAACTTTTTACCTACCTTATTCGGGTTCTTAATGCCTCTTCTTCCATTTCAACCCCCAAGTCCCTTCCACCACCCCAACACAAGGTAGGAGAGAAGGAAGGTTACAGGGGAAAGGGGCGTCATTTTCCTTTAGCTACTTCCTGCTGCTTAGGGTTATTGGGTACCTTGGGGCAAGTCGAATCTTCATTTCAGGGTATCTCCAACTTCTTGTCAAACTGCATCAACAACCAGGAGCAGCAGCGGGGAGCACCAGCACCCTTCTTTTTTCTCAGAGCCCCCAGTCTCTTTCCTGGCTCTACTGTTTATTTCTTGTCAGAGTCCTCAGAATTAAAACTATCTGCAGTTGGCAAAGAGCCCCTCTCAGAGCCAGCACCAGGCGGCTTGCTGGTGTGGACCATCTGAGTCAGCCCCATATACCACACATGGGATTAAAACAAAAACACATTTACAAAACATAACATAACTGGGTTTTAAACACACCAAAACTTTTCACTACAGGACCTCTTTGTTTGTACTTATTCTCCTTTGATCTGTGTGGTTGGTAGGTACCTGCACAGCAGCGTGAAGGAGAAATGAGGAAAGATTTTCCATCTAGTGAGATCCAGAGGCTCCAGGAACAGAATGCAGGTCTGCGGAATGCTGTTGCACAGATGAGGAGAGAGATGGAAATGCTGAGCGGGCATCTTCCCCCTGCTCACTCGGAAGAGCGTTTAGATGCAGGTCCTGATCCCAAGGCTGGAGGAGATTCGGCCCCTCCAGGTGAGCAGGGAGAGGTAGAGATGAGGAGGAGGGATGAGAAGATGTTGGGGTCCCGGGAGCAGTAAAGAACAGGGCGTGTGCACCCCTAGACAGGTCACAAAGTGCAACAGCTGCTTGTCCTCCAAGAGACTCAAGTTCTGTATTGAACAATGTTTGTTTGGTGACATGGCGGGGAGGGCAGGACACATGTTTGATGGCCTGGCAAGCTCGGGGCAGATGGGGCCTGGTCAGTAGGCTGCCGGCTGGGCCTTCCTCAGGAGGAGCATGCTGTGGTGGGCCTGAGGTGGCAGCCGCACCCACGCTTGCTCTTAGCAGGCACCATGGCTGCTTCTAAGGGGCCTGTCCCTGATGTGGGAGTTACCACAAAGCCTGTGGGAGTGGAGGCAGGCAAGTCCTCACGCCTGGTCCCAAAGCCTTCCTGGAGCTCATGGAAGCTGAGCTGAGAGGCAGAGGGAGGTCCTGGGAGCTGGGACCTGGGAGAGACCAGGGGAGGAGAGCTGAGGCTCCTGTAGCTGTGGCAGCAGCCAAGCGGAGCGAGCGTGCCAGTGAGTGTGTGTTTTGGCAGATTATGTTCTGGCCCTTGAAGCAGAAATGCAAAACCTAAAGGATAAAATTAAGGCTCTGGAAGAGCAGCTGCAAGGCATGGAAGAGCCAGTGAAGACATCCCTGACCACTGCTGACCCACACCCTGGTGCCTGTGGCTCTGCAGAAGCAGCCGGTGAGCGCCCCAGACGCCCGAACCTTATGCTATCCTGGTAACACTGATGGTGGAAACTGAGGTGGACTAGAGACAGGCCTTCCAAATGCATGCACGCTGAGCACAGTGCTCCCACCATCAGGCCCGACTCCTGGAAGTCCCCGGTGATGGGAGGGAACTCTGTCTTCTCACGTAAGTGGAATTATGTGGCACGTGTGTGTGTGTCTGGTGTCTTCTGTCTAAAGTGCTTTAGTGAGCAATGCCAGACTTCACAGTGCTGAGTTTCCCCATCAGTCAGCAGCTTGCAGGAGAGCCCCTGAGTGTGTATAGCCTGTCTTCCTGGGTAGCCATCTTGCAGGCTGTGGTACACCCTGCTAGTGTACCACAGTGGGATTGCAGTCTCTGAGTGACCACGACCACCTTTTCCTGAGCTTTTGGAATCTGCCCTGGCTGTCAAAGTGAATGTAGTGGTTACTTTATTGTTGCTGTGAAAAAAACACCATGAACTAGACAATGTACAGAAGAAAACATTTATTCTGATGTCTGTGTGCATAGGGTCAGAGACTAAAAGACAGGGCAGCAGACAGGGATGGCCACTGGGCCAGCGTGTTGAGAGCGCATCGTGAACCATAAGCACAAAGCAGGCCGAGGGCGAACCGCAAGTGGTGCGGGTCGTTAGCCTGCAGCAGCTCCTGCCACACGGCCACTTACTAAACCTCCCTACACAGCACCACCACTGGGGAGCAAGTGCTCAAACGCCTGCGCCGCTGAGGGACCCGAAGCAGCACTCACGGTGCCAAGTCCCAGACGTCTGTGGCCCCTGTGCCTCAGGCCTTGCAAGGCGTCCGCTCTCATGGTGCAGAGCTGACACGGCGCTGAGGCAGGAGCACAGCGGACAGGCGTCATTACTGTCAGGCTTCCGGTGCTCTCATTCTGGACAGGAGTGTGTATGGGGTGCCATGGACACCCCCAGTGCCTGAGGCGCACATGGGTCATCCAGGGGCCCCAGCCCTGACCAGGGCTATCTCTCACTCATCTTCCAGACTCTTCTGTATGCCATTGTGATAGTGAGCAAAGCAGGGTGAAACCTACTCTCTGTCCTGTCACACCTCTCCTTCCTGGGAAGGAGCCCAGAGACTGTGGCACGCCTCCTGGTGGGCTCCTGAGCCCTGCTTGCCAGTGTCTGGTGGAGACACCAGAACTACTACGTTTGGCTCAGGAGCGGGTTACACTTATGCTTCATTTGAGTTTTTCTAATGTTCAGGTCAGAATTTAGAACCAGGGCTACTCTGTCCTTAGAAATATGCTTGATCAGACACACATTTTTCTTAAATTATTTGTAGAATTCAACTTTGAAATCACCAGGGCCTAGAGTTTTCCTTGTTGGAAGCTTTGAAACTTAATGTATTTGTAGTTAAGGGACTGTTCTTATTTTCATCTTTATTTCCCCCAAGACAAGGTTTCTCTGTGTAGCCCTGGCTATGCTGGAACTCACTCTGTAGACCAGGCTGGTTTCAAGCTCACAGAGATCCATCTGCCTCTGTGCTGGCAATAAAGGCCTGTGCCACCACTGCTGGCATGTTTTCTTTCTTTCTTTCTTTTTTTCTTTCTTTCTTTCTTTCTTTTTTTTAATGGGGGGCAGGGGTGGGTTTTTTGTTTTTTGTTTTTTTTTTTTTTGAGACAGGGTTTCTCTGTGTAGCCCTGGCTGTCCTGGACTTTGTAGACCAGGCTGGCCTTGAACTCACAGAGATTTGCCTGCCTCTGCCTCCTGAGTGCTGGGATTACAGGCGTATGCCACCTCCACCAGCTGGTATATTTTCTTTTTATATATTCTTGTTACCTTATACTAGGAAATTATCTGTTTCATCAGGTTCTCAAACTTCTGGGAAGAAGTCTCTGACCCTGTCTGTTTTGCTCGTCTGGTTCTGTGAGCCGTGATCCTCCTTCCTCCACGTCCTCAGCAGCTGGGATTTATAGCTGTGAGCCACCAGGCCTAGGTGCCCTGAGTGTCCTCAAAAGAACAGCTGTACATACATTTATTATTCTTATTATTTTATATGTATGTATTTTCCATGTATTATTTCCACTCAAATAGCTTGGAATATCAGGTGTCGCATCTTTGCCCCAGGTATTATGTGAGCATCTTTTCTCTCTTACTTTTCAAATAAATGGTCCTGTGTTTAGGTGGGAAAATTGACCTGACCTGGTAAGGCTGGCTTTCATCCTAAGGTCTACTCTCTCCGTAAGGGTGTACTGGACAGTCAGCGCACCTCTGGTCTCTCTAGGGACCCAACTCTTGGTTCAAGGATGGACACAATTTACCTCAAGGTCAGTTAGGAGCTTCAGTGAGCCTCTGGGAAAAGAGGTTCAACTCTGCAGGGAGGCTGAGAGACACTGCTCTTCTCTGCAGGTTTGGCCCTGACAGACCAGGAGTCTACTGCGCTGGCACTCAGAAAACTTGGAGACAGAGTGCATCTCTTGAACTTGCTGCTGACACAGCTCAGAAAGAAGGTGAGACTAGCCCCCGACATGTAAGGTTTACACGCACCCCCTACTGAAGAACCAGGTTTGGACACAGGCGCAGGCTCTGCGCGGTGCCAGGTGTGACCTCACTGACCTTGGTGTCTTCCCAACCTCTGTTTCCTTCAGAACAAAGGACTGCGCTGTATGGCGTTTGGTTTATCTTGTGTGTGGCTATAGATGGATGACTCACAGGGAAGCCTGATACGGTGATGAGTGCCCGTATCCCAACCCAGGGGGTAGAGGCAGGAGAGTCAAGGTCATTCATGGCTACAGAGAGAGCTGGCTCCCAACTCTGCTTTCTCAACCTCACATCCACCACAGCCGCTTCTCCCACTGTCTTTTTTTTTTTTTTAAAGCTAGGTTCTCATGTAACCCAGGTTGGCCTCATACTTGCTGAGAATGGCCTTGAACTTCTGATCTTTCTGCCTCTACCTCCCAAGTGCTGGAGTCACAGGCATGCATCACTACACCCTGTTTGTGTGATGTTGGCAGTTAAGCCCAGGGCTTCATGCATGCTAGGAAAGCACTTTGTCAACTGAACTGTAGCCCCTGCCTGTCCCTGCCTTTTGTAGCTTCCCCCTCACACTCACTTCCCTCCTGTCTCCTCTGTACCCCCACCCCCGGGTTTGGTCTTTTGAGATGGTCTCTCTACAGAACCCTGTGTGTCCTGGAACTCACTATGTGGACCAGGCTGGCCTAGAACTCCCGGAGACCCACCTGCCTCTGCCTCCCAAGTGCTGGAATTAAAGGCTTGGGCTCCCTCATCCAGCCTTCCATCTGCCCTTTCCATAGAAAGGACTTCCTAGTCACGGGCAGTGTTCCAGCAGCAGTTTATGTCTTCCTGGGAACCAGGGCCCAAGGGAGGATGTAACTCACTTTCATGAAGATCTTCTCTGCAGGCCTTGGCATGGACTGCACAGAAGTAGAACACACAGAGGCAGGTCCCAGATCATTATGTACAGCCAGAGAAGGAACAGCCACTTGGCCCTGCTTCACCCCGGCACCTCATGCTCCCGTCCTTCCTTGGACAGCCCCTCCCTCCTAACTTCGCCCTCTGCCTGATTCCCAGCTGCGGCACAGACCCCTGGAGCTGGGCACTGTCCAGCACGAGCTCCCCAGGGAAGTGGGCCAGGTGCACCTGGAGGTTTCGGAGCTGCAGCAGCAGGTGGCTGAGCTAAGGAAGCACCTCACAATGGCAGGTCCCCAGCGAGAGCCTCCTCACAGGCAGCAGCTACAGAGAGAGGTGGGTGCTGCGCACTCGGGACTGCCACCACTTTCTCCCTCCATGGGCCATCAGCTTCCGCTGCTGAAGGCAGACACGTCTGCTGGCACATGGCTGAATTCCTGGGCTGTGAAGCCAGGCAGTCATGCCCACAGGTTAACTTCCCAGACACTGCCTTCCTTTTCACCCACCGCTGTTCTCTGTGAGCTTGCTCACACTTCTTTGGCTGGCCATACTGTTGCTGGAATGGAGCCCATGCCCTCTGTGACTGAGTAGCCTTCCTTAGGAAACACATTGCAGAGAATTCTACCTGTCCACAGACAGGCCTGGGCTGATGGCTAAGAAGTCGCTCTGTGAGCTGATCTGGCCTGCCTGTGAGAGAAGGGCCACAGAGCCCTCAACATCTGGTCAGCACTGTGGCCAGGGCTGAGGACTGAGCAGCTGAGTCCTCAGAATCCCATGACAGAGCCTAAGCTACAGAGAGGGCCCTGGACCTCCGCTGAGAAGCGCAGCCCTTTTTTCCCACTACGGTCCCAGGAGAGCCATGGGGAGGAAGGGTTACCTCTGGAGCTGTGCCCCTGAGGCCCTCTGGTCATTGGGTGACCTAGGGTGATGTGGCCTGCCCCTGCACTGACCTACTGTAACCTACAGTGATCTCCCCTGCCAGCTGACCTGCAGTGGCAGTGGTGACTTATGCCACTTTTGGCTACCTGTGCCGACCTGCAGTGGCTCGTGGCCCCTGTGGTTGCTGATGGGGACCTATTAATCACCATAGCTTCTAGGCACTCAGCTGAGACATTTAAGACACTGTTTGTCCTTATGGCACCATATTACAAGGACAGGAACACAGCCGTGGCCTCTGGCAGAGGCTGTGTCTAAGAAGAAGCAGGGCAGGCATGGGACTGAGGGAGCTGAGGCTCCAGCAAGAGCCTGAATTAACCAACATGGACGTACTGAGCCGTGCTCACCCAGGGTCCCTGCACCCCACCCTCCCCAGGCTCAAGTCAGTGGGCAGCTCAGCACTCCATATCACACTGGCTTTTAAATGGTGCTAGACTGGTTTGAAGCAGTGGGCCTCGGCCTCAGCACTCACAGATGTAAAACACAGTTAGCAGGCACCCTGCCCCTGCTGGGTCTTAGTAGCTATGATTTTGGCACTGTGAAGTCATTCTGGGAATGAAGCAACAGAAACATGAGTGCCCTGCTGGACAAGGCTGCAGGCTGGCACCCACTGCCTGGCAGCATGGCCCCATCTGGACCAAGTGTTAGATGCCCAGAGACCGGGAAGCCTAGAAATCAATGCTTCCAAGGGGGCTGATGAGCTGGAACCACAGGCAGTGGCCTCAGCTGTCCTGAAGCGTAGAGAAATAGAGGGCACGTGCGCGTGCCCACTCCCACGGTCCGAGACCTTGCGGCCACCAGCGCCTGTGTCCAGAAGCTGCTCCACAATCTCTCACTCCAGGTCCAGGGTCAGGGCTCGTTGAACAATGCCAGTTCCAAATGGTTGTACTAGGAGGGTTCAGATGCCAGCTGGAAAAGGTTCCAGCTGACCACCTCAGCCAGGAGAGACTGCAGTCCACCAAGTTTAGAGGAAATCCTGAAATGATGTGGACCAAGAGAACAGACAACGAAGCGGAGGCCAGCAAGCTCTGTCAGCAGGCAAAGGCACTTGCTGTCAAGCCTGAGGCCAAGTGCAACCCCTGGGACCCATGTTCTCCACAACATGTGCACAGTGGCATACACAGCACCCCACACAGACAGACAGACGTAATATGAATAATTTTTAAGAAGGAAATGTGAAGTGATTCCTACATCAGAGCATTAGTGAGTAAACACATTGAGAGTTGGGCCTGTAACAGTGCTCCCTGGGAGCCTGCTGCACTTTCCTGGCTTGGTCAGAGCTTCCCCTAGGACCTTCCCTGACTCAGGGTTCCTGCCTCTGCTGTGTCTTTCTGTGAGCCCTTCAGTCTCTTGTGGCCTGCAGCAGATGCCAGAAGCACCTGGGTGCAGTCACCTATAGGTGCAATCACCCACACACTTCAGGCTACCTGAGGAACAGTAGCACCCAGAGGGCACAGGCACCTGCCAGCATTGGCAAGGACCGGGAAGCCAGAGCAGGGCATCCAGGATGTTCCAGGGCAGGGAGCTCAAGTGCGCAGAATTGTGGCCCATTGTCATGGCTTCTCGTAACCGTCAAGAGCAGGTGGGCCAGGCCAGGA